TGATCACCTTATTTCTCAAAAGACATTTGAAGAAATCATTCCTGCCACTTTATTAACTCATGGTATATTATACAGTTGTGCAAATTTGTGTGTAGTTCAGTGCAATTTGCAGATACTTTACATCATTAAAAGCATAATGTACCACTTAAATGAAGTCTCTCTATTTTGGATGAAAGATTTCTTATGTGGAATAATGTTGCACTCCCACTAAGTACATTTGCAGTTTTCTTATGCCAAGTTTTATAAAAATCAAATTATATCTTTACCATCAGATTTTTCCCGGAATACAATTAATTGTGGCAGGAATTTTAGGTTGACGGATAAAAGTGAATGTGCCATTGACACACAAAAAGATGCTTTACTTAGTGATATACCATTGTGTCCATCCTTTACTTCATGGTTAAAGACCTTAAAATATTTTGATATGGTGTCATTTCACAATGTATGTCAGTTGTGTGTCCTGCTTCTGAGCACTGTTTCTTAAATCATGGTTGTCATGGTTACTCTTGTTACCATTGGCCAACTAACATTTAGCCTTTCTTTTTCTTTTTTTGCTGCATTAAAATGGAGCAGTAAACCTGACAGGTGAGGAATAGCGAACAAATCCCTTTTATGTTCAGTAAGAAATATATATATAAAAAAATAAGATCCTGGTAGGCTTTGAAGGTATTGAGGAGGTGAGGGTGGAAGTTGGATTCAAAAGGTAAAACCTGGCGAGTGAAAGATGGACAAAACCTAGATTTATAAAATAATCATGATATGAAGATGTTTCTCGAGGAAATAAACGGCTTTGTCTGTATAATAAGAAAAATAGACTATTTTCATTTAAAGTCCAAATTAGAAGGTGGTAAGACCAATTTCTGAGTTTTGTTTGTTGTTAAGGTGAGATGAGAATCTGTATGCATTAATGTTTCTGCAGAACAGAAATGTGAGGTTTCCTATAAGCCATTTTGTTTTGTTTTGCTTGTTCTTTTTATGAAAGATCAGCTTTCAGTTGGGTCTAAAGTCACCTCTCAATGCAGGAATAGTAGCATATTTGCCCCCTGCAAATGTTGTTGGTAGTGCTAGAGTAAAAAACGCTGATCCATTCCAAATTATTTTGCATATCTCCTAGCCTTGAATCATAATAGAAAGAACTACAATAGTAGCTATAAGCATGGTTATTGAGTGATTGGTGCAGCCTAACGTTCTAGCTTTCTAACTTATTCCTAGATAACTGTCTGTATCTGTGGTGATAGATGCACATGCCTGATTAAAATGGAAATAAACAGCATCTCACTGCTCATCCAGCACCCCTCCCTCCCAACACTGTGTGCTGATGGTTTGCAATCAGTGTGCCCCTGGATGAGTAGCAGGAGCATCATCATCACCTGGGAACTTGAGAGAAAAACAAAATCTCAGCCTGTCCCTTCCCAACACAGAACTACTGAATCAGAAATGTTGGGCCTTGGTCTGGCAACTGTAGTTTAATAGGCCCTCCTAGGTGATTCTAATAAAGTTTGATAACCATGGCTGTATTTTTCTCTAAAATCACTCCATGCTGATCAGCACGCTATGCTACAGTTTACTGTCAGGAAGCTTAGTACCTTTGTGCAGATGTCTTTATTGAGGGTTGGGAGGCACAGGGAAATATCAATAGTTGCGATGAATCCAGCATAAAATTACATGCCAGAACAATACACTGTGAACAAACTTAAAACACTCACATATCCACCTTCCTGTTTTTACACCTTCACTTCCTTCTTGTTCTATTAAGATGAGACTGTTGGAGCACAACTAAAATATCATCTTTTAACACTCCTCTCTTTTATCAGTGAAGAAATTCAGGTTTGTAGTTGAGTTACCCAAAAAGATACATAGCAGTAGTGGCAGAGTTGGGTTGATCTTTTTCATGGCATCAGAACCATAATGCTTTGTACTGATTTCTTTGAATATTAACAGCAGAGATTTCAGATAAATATATCTTTCTTCCAAAAACTTACACCCATATGTCTGAATGTCTTTACTACCAATAGACAGACTTAATCTTCCACACAACCTCCCTTGGTTTTTGCTTCCCATTTTACCCTTAAAAGAGAGCCAAGTGAGAATAAGTAAAAATCAAACACCCCTAAGACTAAAGAACAGCAGCTTTTGTTGTACGTTACTCACATTCCAAACAACTGTGCATTTTTATACCATTAGCAGTTTCCACCATATATGAAATGTCACGTGATAGTCCATTTCCTGTTGACCTGTGTGAGCCCTGCACATGGTAGATACTTCTCACTGAGTGAAACCAACTCATAATAGGTCTTTATAATCTTAATACCAAAAATAAAATACCAAGGCAATATTCAGAGTCTGATTTTAGTCACTGTCCTTGCTTTTTTTCTAATTGAAAATGAGAAAGATGAGACCTCTGAAAACTTATCAGGGAAATGTTATTATTTATGTTCACGTTGGTCTGATTTAGATCATTAAATGTCATTTAATGCTTTATGACAGTAAGTCCAATTTTTAAAGCTCTTTACCATTGTTACAGATAATAGCCAATCTCTTCATCTTGTAAACCTTTCTTAGAAATACTTTCTGTTGGAAAACAAACCATTTTAGCACATTTGTGCTTAAAAATAATGTGATAAGAGTGTGGGCAGCCAGAATTATCCATGTTGTGATCATTAAAACTAAACCAAGAAAAACAGAATTTAAGCAGCTGGTTTCTCTAGCTGGCTAGGATTTTTGGAGCCTGAGGTTTTGAATGTTTTTATTTGTACAGATAACAGGAGAAGTTAGTTATTAAATGTCAGGACACACCTCCCAATTTATTACAAGTATGAACTGTACTTTTAGTCTCACACTCTGGATTTTTTGACACCCTTCGGACATAAGCGATTAGCAACTTTCCTGGCACCAGTGAAATTCACATTTCTTTCGAGATTTTTCTTTACTATCCCTCCATCTCAGTATCACTCAGTCTGGCCCAGTGAAAACAAGTAGGAGATGGTTCTACAATACCAACGAAGGGGAAATAGTTTCCTTGCCCAAATATTTCCACATCTGGTTCCCATAATCTTATAAGAATGACAGCAGAGCCACTCTGAGAAGGGATGAAAATTCAGGTTTTTAGCCCTTGGGTCTGGCACATCAGTAAAGGCATGTATCTGTGCCAACCAAAAAGGGCCTCTGGAATTACTTGAAGTGAGAAGACCAACCAAATATTTGTTACATGTGGGTTGATTGACTAGCCACAGTGACATTTCATTCACCCTTTAGATTTTGCATTTTCAGTGCAAAGATGAATCTCAGCTCCATGTGGCAAACACCCAGGGCACAGACACAGTGATGTTTTCTACTCTGAAACTGCTCATCACGTCCTCCTTTCATATGGTCGTCGGATCCCACCCCCTCTTTTTTCTCATCTTTCTCACCAGCCCTCCATCTCTTCTTTTCCTTTCCTTCTCATTTTCTACTCCATATACCTAGTTCTGTCAGGACCTTTGGCATGCCTGAAATTCACTGCTCACCTCTGAGTGGTAGAATAACTTGGTAGAACTTTCTGTCCGAGGCTATCCCTGACAGCTTTAGGTTAATCTGATGTTCTGGGAAAGCAAGGCGTCCATTAAGACTCACCAGAGGAAATGCATGCCATCACCAGAGTTTTGCTGATGGGGTTGCTCTTGAGTGAATCAAGTGTCCTTTCTCTCAGCACCAATCTTCCCTTCATCCCCTGGTTAGTTTTTGTATAGAAGGTCAGTGGTAGAAGGAAAGTGTATGTAACAGGAGCTCTCTGACTAACCAGAGAGTATCTTGGGAGTCACTGAATGAGAACCCATTACCTCAGCAACACTGATGAGCTACCCCACAGTCTTATGAGGAAGAGGAGAGCTCCCAAGCCCTCATGGCTCTCCTTTCTCCAAATAAGAATGCCTTTGCTTTGAGCAGGGGTGAGGCACTAGGATGATAATTCCAGTATGGACATGGCTGGATTCAGTATTTGTACTGTTTGAAAAGGCTTCCACTTGTTCAATGAGTTTGTAACCTAAATCAACCTGAATTTAAATACTCCTCTGTGATTATTTTGAAAAAAGTCTTATGAAAAGATTTGTCATCTTTCACACAGACATTAGTTAAAATTACATTGTGGCATGTAAACAAGACTATGTAATAAAACCAGTAAATAGCAATTAAAGATAGAATTGATCGAATAATAGCTTATAACAAGGTACTGTTAAATGGTTTATACATCTTAAATGATCATCAGGAAGGTAGACTACCCGCTACCAGGTGAAAATACTTTTTCTCTGACATTTATGCTATTGACTTTCACTTAAAAAGTACTTATCATATCTCACTTAGCATCATAAATAGCCAAGGGTATTTTTTCCCTTGGAATGGTAAAGAGAAAAGGAATGTTGGTCTTATGTGGCCCCATATCTCCTCCAGGCATTACTGCTACCTTGGGATCTTAGGAAGGCATTTAATGTACTCACATGCTTTATGGGAAAATCCAATGCAGTCTCACTTTGTAGGCTACAATTATAAATTCGTGAAAAGGGGGAGGGGACCAGAATTGACTGTTCAGTCTAAGGCTCAGTAGTTTCTGAGCTGCTTGCTCACTCTCTATGTATGCATATATAATGGCAACTTAGTATTGGCTGCCCGGGTACTCTATCTTGTGACTCACCATGAGAGCTCTGGGTATGGGAGAATTGCAGTACAGGGATGCAAACAGATCTTACCTATGCCCCTAGAAGCTAGAGTCTTTGAATTACTTAATTCTAGAGCTGAAAGAGGACTTTAAAGTCATTCACTTAAAATGTTTGGATCTGAGGAAGTACTGTAGACCAGATGAAAAACAACCCGAGCAAGGTCACCAAGGTAGCTGGTCCAAAAGACTTGAAACTGAAAGCCGGGAGAGGGGAGTATGCGTGAAGCATGGCTACTTTTTTACCCTAATGTTTCAGTTTTTTTTTTTTTTTTTCCATTATATTCTTAAATGTTCATTTTCCCCTCTATAGGAAAAGGGCAGAGACCGACTCTAGAAAGAGCAGCATACCAAACAGTAAGGAGGTTCCTTCACACCATCCAACAGACCCAGTAGAACTGAGGCGCCTTAATTTCCAAACTCCAGGTAAGCGGCTTGACTCATTTGGTCCATAATAGTCTCCGGGAAATTTTACAGCCCAGTCAATATTGCCTTAAGAGAGGAATATATTACATTATTTTGAACAATTTTGCTCATCATGCTGTTTTATTTGAATGTTGTTGAGACTTACCAAAACATATGTCTTGGAAGGAAATTAAGGTTTTTGTGCAAATCTGAGGTGAGTTGAGGAAGAGAAAGAAAATGCAATTCTCCTTCAGATTTTAGCAAACCTATGCTATTATATCTACTATTTTTATGGGCTTGACAGAGTTTATTTTCAATTATACCTCTCTGAAAAGAATTCAGTTTCTCATCTTATAAAATGAATGAGTGGATGGGTGAATATTGTATCATTCACCCCGTTGGGAAAGAATATGTTTAGTTTATATTTTCTTAATAGTTTATATTTGTTGCTCTGAAAGAAAAGGGGAGGGAAAAAGAAAGGGGATAAAAACAAAATTAGGCAAAAAAATGTATATCTTTTAATATTACCTATACTACATCTAGCTAATCAATTTAGGTTTCCACTGGAAAGACACAGAGTGACTGAGCATAAGGAAAATATGCTTGTTTCTTAAAGAACATTAAGTGCTTCAACAGAGGAAAGATATTATTCCTGCTGAGGGGCATTTTATACCGTATTATTCATTCAAACCTAGTGTTCTTTTTCTGTCTTTCAAATGAATCTTGTTTATACCAAAATAATGGCAAATAATGAATGGTAAAGAGAGATAAAAACATAACACTGAGTGGGTCTGGCTTAATACCTCATGATAATGTCCAAAGTAAAGAGCTGATATAGGAAGGCTGTGTGATTAAAAATTGGTTTAATTACGGCATTCCAAATCATTGGAAAGTTTTCTCTAAGTCAAGTGGGTGCCCTAACTCATGGCAGGATACACCAAATATTTATTAAGCTGCACATTTGCTGTGAATTGCTTTGAATTAAAAATACAGAGTTTTTTTTTTCATTTTAGCATATCTTTTACACACAGATACATCATAGTAACTAGTATATTCAGTAGAAAGAAATGTCTGGCATTTTCAGTATGGTTAGACATAGACAATCATAAATGTGAGCTGTCTTAAAACTATCTCATTTGAGGTTAGATGTTTTACAGTTTGATTTTTAAAAAACTAAGATATACGTTCATCAGCGTGAAAATATTTGTGCAAAGTCTCCTGCAAACATATTTTTACAAAAGCTGATGAACGTGGCCTATGAGCATGTGCACAGTGACAGAATGAATGTGAGAATGTGCTAATTTTCCAGAACTGCTGTTATCACCTGGGTTCTCTCTTTGGCGTCACCATCAAGGCTTTATTAAAGCACTTTGATACAAATTTACTTCCTATTGTAAACCTTTGCAGTTCAGCACTTTTTTTGTAAGAGTAGTGTACTGACTTCTTTAGGCTATAGGCAACCTTTTAATAATAGTGAACCTATGAATTCATATATTTTCAGTTTGACTAAACCAATGTATAGAAAACCAAAAACCAAAAAACTCAACTGTGACATGATTCCTTTCATATGTTGCCTCATTACCTTTTATCAAGGCAGAACAATATAGAAATGAAGAAAGAGATTATATTTCTCAATACCTTGCTACTCAGCACTGTTGTCAAGCCTCCTTTGGTAAAAGGCTTCTATGTAAAGGGTGATCTCTATTCAAACAATCTCGATCTTTCAGCAGAAACAGGAATAGTCTGGAATTGAGTAGAAAATTAAAGATAGTCCCCAAAGAAGAGAGCCAGTGGCTGTGCTATGCCTCACTTCCAGCAACAGCAGAGTATTTCCAGGCATAACTGTGAAGCATGGATGGGGACAGTAGAAAGGAATAATAGCATAGTGCTGGTGACTGCAAGCAAGGGACTAGATAGACCTTCAATCCAGAGACATCTAACGTTAATACCTCTCAGTTTTATGGGTAATTTTGCAAATGTAACCAAATTTAAGAATTCTATTAAGAATATAATTTCCCCAATGTATAATGGAATATTATGGCCACTTGTAGAGAGAGCCTGTTAAATTCCATAGGACTCACTGGAAGCAAAATGAATGTTACAATTGAAGTGCCAGTGCTTGTATTACCAGTGGCTTTACAGTATTAACATGGAGTCCTATGTATTAAAGAACATGCCATTTAACCAAGATTAGATTTATCACCTCCAGTGGATAATGGGATTAAGTAGGCAAAATGAGTAAATAAGGAAAGAGAAGATTTAGTAGAGAAAGAGACTGGAACCGGAGAAATTATCCAAGACCTTGGCTTATCTGTTCACTCCGGAAATATATGTTGTTCTCTCATGCTCAGGTAAGTAATCTATACATGCCAAGAGCTATGGAAATACTCTATTTGCCTCCAAAAAGTCTGTGATGTGTCCAGATGATTTGACCACATCAAAGGAAATAGACTCAGCTGTTAATGTGAAATTCATAGAAATTTGACCATTCACTTCAGCCAGTATGACATCTCTCCAGTGGCTATGAAGTACCCTAATTACTTGACAATAGCATGAAAGCAGAAGGTGGAATTGTTAAACAAGTAACCTTTTTGTGCCTTTTGTTCTTGTCTTATTCACAAATAATCTAGGACTTTCTTAGATGAAATAAAATGTCACCTTAGACATTGCACAGATAATATGTCTCTACTTAAATTTTGGATTATAAACTCTTTACCTTTCACTATTTGAAATGCTCTCTTATATAAACATGTATACATAAATTTGAATGTATAATTGCTTACCCCCAAACATTATGAAACTTAATAGTCTTTATTAAATGCAAAATAGTTATGCATAAATAGGTAATTAACCACCCACATCTTGACTTCATACAAATGGCTTTCAATGAAATAAGAAACCTGTGATTTATATAACCAGCCCCTAGTACACAGCTTGTTCATGAAAGCAAATTGATTTCCACTTCTTATGGGTCGGTGGTGAATGATAAAATACCAAACAAACATTACTATTTAAAATTCAGAGGGTCTTTCATAAGGTAAAGGAAATGCTTTGCTTAGCTCACTGATTCTACAAATTCTACTTGCCTTTAAAAGAAATCATGGGAATGAAAAATCTACTTAACTTATTTTTGTTGGAGTGTCTAAATTTAAGGCAGCAGACTCTTTCCTTCAATTCTTCTGCATGTTCAAAAGATATTGAAAACATCCCCAAATTTATATAAATACAGTATTCTGGCAATTTAAGTACTTCAAAGAACTGTAACCTTAATTTCAGTATCACGAACACACCCATCTCTGAGTCAGGAAAAGGAAGTCAGAATTCTCTCCAATCAAGTGAGGTACAAAGTGAAGGCAGGGAGGCCGGTTGTTTTCGGCATGACCATCTGTGTGAGATAGTGGGATGTGGAGACTCCATTGCTTTAGCATGCTGCCAAGTCACAAGTGATGATCAAGTCACTTTGTCAGTGAAACACTGCATCCCAGCATCTGAACAGGGTGAAAAGGGCTCACTGTTCCCGTTAAGACCCACATACCTCTGCTTCAATATGTTTTCCATGACTTTGTTTATCTGTCAAGCTTCAGGAAGCAGTATGCAACCAAATTATATTTGTGAGAAATGGAACTACCTAATCTTTTAGGATAAAAAGTTTTACAACAGTAAATGATCAATTAGCAGCTTACAGGAATCAATCAGAACTAGTGTAGAACATGCAATAGAAGTGGAATCACTTTGTCACCAATGATTTACAAATGAAACTTGAGCCCTTAAGTATGTAAGATGATCTTCTTTGAAGTTAAACTTATAAGCTCAAATGGAATAAAATGGGCAAAGTAAGTAAAGTACAGAGGAAATGAACAAGAATTTGCTAGAATTGTTAAATTTGATGAAGTTTTACAAATCTTTAAGATCTATGGGGGATGGAAAGAAAATAATCACTTACGATAGATGAAACTTCTGTTAGGTCTCACTCCTCTGTGCAGACAGCGGAAGTGCGTGTGCACTGCTAGGGTGGGCTAGTTGATGGATTACACATGGAGCTAAAGTGATCTTGGAAGGAAGTTTTTCTTTTTTTTTTTTTCTTAAAAGAAAAAATTGAAATCATTTTATAATACCCCTCTTTGGTATCCTTATTCTTACTACAAAAGCATGTTTACTAGGGAAAGTTTCAAAGATAGAAAGTACATTTATGCATGATTATTATACAACACTTGTGAATTTAGGTGCTCATTCTATTATTTGAGCTTTTGTGTGGTTGACAGTGCTTGTATTTGGGAAAGGCAGAAAAGAGTACATTAAGAGAAGTAAAACTACTATACCTTATCACTTCTTATTTTCTTATTTAATGTATTTAAAATTAAAAGTAGTATTTATTATTTATTATGTACAATGCCATACAGACTTCATTATATGTATATTCATTTATTTTACTTATAAAATATATAGCAGGTACATAGGTACATACACCTAAAATTGACACTTCTAACAATTAATGATCTAAAAATAGTTACCGTTCCATGTTTGTATATATGGTTTTATCTCCTTTTAAACAGTCAATGATACTGACATCACTTTCTTTTATTGATGTCACAAAATATATTGACTCCTTCTTTGCTAATAGAGACTAAGTCGTTTCTCATCTCATGCTGCTGCAAATAATACTGTGATGAACAGTATTGAGCCCAGATCTTTTCACAATTTTGCTGCTATTTCTGAATGTTTGACACTTTGAAGTATGATAATTGGGTCATACCACAGGAGCATTTAACATTTTTATAGAGTCTGCCTTATACAGATTTTTTTAATACTCTAAAATGCCTTTTCTGGTATTATAGTTCTTCTGGGCCCTGCCCTTGACAAATGTGCAAAATAACTAAGATAACTATAACATTGTCAATTGATGGTGGTGTATAAAAACGCCAAAGAAATTACTTGTGTTCATATTTCTACTTTTACCAATAAAGCAATTTAAGAAGTTCAGCATCTTTCCAAAGTAAGTTTTCTCCACACTTACCCAGTAC